AATAAAATAAAAATAAAACCCCTTTTGTTTTTACTTTTTTCGTGCTTTTAATTGCTAAAAATGGAGTTGTCCGGGCCCGGACGTCCGGGACCCCCCTGACTGTCCGCCGAGGACGTCCCGGCAGGACGTCCTGCCATCGGACAACTGGTAGCCTAGCAAATTTTCTTATTTTGCCATATTTAGTATTTACTATTTACTATATAGTGTCCTTTGGGACATCTGTTAAAATTGGAACGATACAGAGAAGATTAGCATGGCCCCTGCGCAAGGATGACACGCATAAATCGAGAAATGGTCCAAATTCAAAAAAAAAAAAAAAAGTATTTAGTATTTACTATATAGTATATAGTATATAGTGTATATAGTATATAGTATATAGTAGTATAGTTCATTAAGCTTCATTTCACTCAGCAGCTTGGTTATCAGGTTGAGGCTCACTCCACTACAATGTTCTGCATGTATCTGGACTGCGTTATCTGCCAGATACATTGATACTAATTCAACATTTTGAATTTATTTGGGACTGTTACCAGCTCCAGATAGAGTGTTTGTGTGGTGGAGAGAGGCCCCTCGGGTCGACAAAACCGTCAGGGGAATTTAACACTGAGGGCAAATTCACCGGATCTGGTCAGATGGGAACAGCAGCAGATACATGTGATAGCAACAAATTTGCTCATTTTTCCCAACCAAAAGAATAAAAAATCAAAAACTTGCTCGTTCTATTTTATTAATAATTACCTCGTAGCCCGTAATGTCACAGTATTTCTTCGGCGGATACAGTGATGGAGGCGAGTCCATGCTCACATCTGCAGTCCATACAAAGCCATGTGGAAAAAAAAAAAAGAAAAAAAAAAGGAGACTGCAATCAGACTCACTTTCTCTTCCACTTCGCATACATGCAAACAGATGTCGATTCACACTGGCGCTTCGCGCCCACTCAAAGCTCAGAGATATGAGAAACGAGAACACAGTTAAGATGCAAAATCGCTTCAACAACTACGGCGCATCAGCGCCTGCACACCAACTTTCGTCACTGTGTCCGATATCACCGTTCGCACATACTCAACTCGGGATCACCCTGAATACCACCACCACACACACACACTAATCCTATCTTCCTTCTACAGCAGCTATGGCCGCTCTATCACAACTGACTACGACTATGATCTCTCTCGTCAGCCCACTTCGTCTTCGGGCAACCTGCAGACCACCTCCGCACACGACGCTGTAGCAGCGCTTCCGCATGGCTTACGCAGCGAATGAATGAATGGCTGGACGCTGCCTCTCGATTTATACTTCTGTAACTCGTTGGTCTGCCCCTTTTCCACCGGGCCCTTGGTGCACACAGTCCCTCATGGTACTTGCTGACTGTACAAAGTGAGACTGGGACTGGGTACC